AAATCTGCATGAAGTTTGGAGTTTTGCTGACAAAGAAGCTCAGATTACAGTGGCAGCATGATTTCAAATGTCACTCAAATGTGCCGGAATAGACTGGAACCAGGCATTAGCAGGAAGTGCAGTTCTGTCCACCATATTCCAGGAACCAAGAAATAACACTTTTTAATTCTGAGCTTACACATCCTGTGTGTAACTTGATAAAGTGTTTTTTTCCAGAACATCTCTTCATTTATTTTCTTTATCAAATTATTAAAATTTATCAGGTAGAGATATCTGTAAGAAAATTGTCTTGCAGTGTAGTTTTACATTTTCTCTTTCCACTTAATTCCCCAATGTAAAATAATAATATAGAAATAAAATAATTGCAATAAATGCCATATCTTAATATTATTGTAATATTTGAGAAATTTACTGAAGACCACATTCGGTGTGACTTTCCTTAAGGGTGGAGACTACTCTCTGGCCAGTCTGCTCTAGTGTTTGACCATTCTTAGTTTTTTCTTATGTTTAAATGTAATATCCTGCATTTTAGTTTTGCCCACTGCCTTTTCTCCTTTCACTGGATACCACTGAGAGGATCCGTCTCTTTTTTTCTTTGTTTCCTCTACCCCACCAAGCTTTTATATTCATTTATCAGCGTCCCCTAAGCCATTTCTTCTCCAGGCTAAACTGTCTTAGCTCTCAATCTCTCCTTGTATGGCAAGTGTTCCAGTCTGTTATTCATCTCTGTAGCCTTATGTTGGTCTCAATGTAGTATACCCTGTCTCTCTCTAGGGAGTCTGGATCTCAACCAATCATGCTAGTGCCTTGCCAATGCCAAGTACTTAGCAAGGATGGCCTCCCTGAAATATAGGCCATGTTCTGTCTAATGAGGCATAGCTGATTAGCCTTACAGAAGATATACTGGTTCCTGAGTGGATACAGAATTTCATGCTTTCCTTATCTGAATATTACGAAGTTCCTGTCGGCTCACTTTTGCAGCCTATTGAGGTCCTTCTGAATAGCAGCATAATCCACTCATCTATCAACTATTCCTGCCAGTATTATCTGCAGACATACTAAAGGTCCATTTTGTCTTCTCATCCAGCTAATTATTGCAAATACTAAACAGTATTGGTGCTACTATTGAACCCTGGGATATATTGCTGGTGACTTTGCTACAGCTGAACTTCATATCTTCAATCAGTCCAACAGCTCAGACATTTTTCATTCTTTCTCACTGTCTATTTACTATTATTTTTTTCTTAGTATGACTTTCAAGATTTACTCTGTTACTTTCCCAGGAATAAAGTCAGTGCCGACCAGCCATTATTTCCCAAGACCCTCTTTTTTTGAAGAGTGATGTTGGTTTTCTTTCAGTCCTTAGGAGCTTCACCCCCACAAACTTTTGTAGATAGTTGAGGATGGCAAACATCCTCAGCTCCTTCAATACTTGTGAATATATTTCATGAGGTGTCCCATGGAATTCTGTGTGTGCAGTTTGTTTCTATGTTTGTTCACTTGTTCCTTCTCCACTCAGGAGTAAGTTTTCCTTGGTCCATACTTGCCCACAAATCTCAGGAAGCTGGGATTCCTGAAGACGAGTCTTCTTACAAGTAAAGGTTGAGGTGAAGCATAAATTGAACAACTTGACCTTCTTCACGTCCCTTGTCATCAAATCCCCTCCCTCATTTGGCACCAGTTCTATATCTTCTTTTGTGTTCCTGTGGCTGATTATGTACTTACAGGCCACTTCTTGCTCCAGACATTTCTCACCACATTTAACTCCAGATGTGCTTTGACTATTCTAGTCCTGCCTGTATGTTTAGTGTTGCTATATTACTCCTGATACACTTGTCCCTGCTTTCATATATGGTATTCTTCTTTCTTGTATGTAAGATTTGTCAGGAGCTCTTTATTCCTTCAGACAGGATCTGCATAGTGTGGTGTGAGAAAACCCATCACTTCATTCTTATTAAAGCTGATTGTTAATAAGTTTATACTAGTATCCTCAACCTAGACATTGGAATTGAACACACCCTCAAAAAGTCTGCAGATGATACCAAGTTAAGAGGTGCAATTGGTACTCTGGAGGAAAAGGATGCCATCCAGACAGATTTTGACAGGCTTAAGAGGTGGGCCCATGGAAAACTTTGTGATGTTCAGCAAGGCCAAGTGTAAATCCTGCATCTTGTCTAGGGCAATTCCACACATCAGTACAAACTGGGTGACGGATCAAGAGTTCTGCGTGACCTAGCAAGACATACTTGCAGCCCAGAAAGCCAACCAAATCGTTGGCTGCATTAAAAGAAGTATGAGCACAACAGAATGAGGGAGGTGATCCCTTTGCTCTTCCCTCATTAGATTTCACCTGGGGGACTGGGTTCTGAAGTACAAGAAAGATTTGGAACTGTTGAAGTGAATCCAAACGAGGGCCACATCATTCATCCCCAATTCTACCTGAGAAATTAACTCATATAATTCTCTTATTTGTATATCTCTATTGTAAAAGACTGTAGGAGATCCTCATAATGCTCTTCTAGAAACTATACTTCTTATTTCTCTTACATTCACTTATGATTGAAATATATGCCAAGATAATTGAGTATTTTGGAGGTAAAGTATGTCTAATAAGCAAAATGATTAAATTTTGCAACTTTATACTTTTTATGTCAGTCATTCTCACTGTATTTTGCATTTTGGGTAATGTTTATGTAGCTTCAGTTTTGTCATGAGTCAGGAAGAGATATGCCATTTACAGTCACTAGTAAACTAAATCCAAAAAATGCTAATACTAGATATGAAGCAATACACATATTTTGCAAAATAAATCTACATGTTAGCATGTTTTTACCATCTGTTTGACTTTAGAAAGCATACAACATTGTTATCCATTTGGACAGTGGAAGTGGTGTTATTAGAACTGTGAAGTTACAAGTTCTATGCAGAAGTCAGACTGACATAGATAGTTGCCATAATGAAAATGATTTTTATATTGAATTTACAGATCATTCTTTGAACTTAAGTTGCTGTGTGTGGATTAGTATAAGGATGAATGCGTTTTCTTCTGGGTTTTTTTTTACATTTTGTTTGTATTTTATCTGAAATTATGAATTCTGTCTTCATAGATATCACAATTATGTAGATAATTTGAAAGAAAGCATTATTTCCATTTCCTTATGCTCCTTTTGACATTGAATATATTGCCCCCATCTAATGCTTTTTATTTGTACCAATTTCAGTAAGTATAATTTTCAGGGAATCACTCTTACATGGTGTTTTCTGCAGTATCAGAAAATTATGTCAGTTGTTTGAGCTTCTAAATTGGTCTTGCTCTGAACGGGAAGTTGGATTAGGTGAACTCCAAATGTCTGTTCCAACATAAATTACTCCGTCATTATCTGAAAACAGCTTGTCATACGCTGTGTTCATACTGTACCTTAACCAAAACTTAGGAATTACTCTTAGCTAATATTTACAATTAATTTAAGGAGTTAGAGTTTAACCAGATAACTGATATATACAAATATTTTCTTCATACCATAGAGTGTACTATAGTGCCAGGCAAAAGCAATGTTACGTGGTTCCTCGCAATTTTTCTCAGATTGTGGAATTGTTAAGACAATATAGAACTGTGTGAAATGATGGTAGGATGACTGAGCATATTAAAAAAAAAGGATTATAATCAGAGACAAATATCTGGACATATAATCTGGTAGAAAGGTCTCCCCCCTCCCACATCTGTCGCTATTGCTGCCTACATTGATCATTCTGAATTCTGAAGATAATTCTAAGATAGCAGGGATCTGTATTTTGGATCTATGCCTCCTAGATTGGATTATCTGATTGTTTTGTTCCGTCTTATAAAAAATACATTGTTTATTCTAATGCTGTATTTCTTTTGGTGTCTGCAGTTTCCTTAGAGCTTTTTTTCCACTGGAGACTTGCAACAACTTACATTTACACAGCTTTGATACAGCTTTGATAGTCACGGGTTGAATTTCCAGCAGCATTTCCTAAAAGAAAGTATTTATTATTTGTAAAGGCTCAGTTCACGTTCTATGACTGAAATTCAGAACTGCAAATAGCAGTATTTTCTTTCTTTGGGTACCTATATCTTCTGACAATCTCTGGTGACTTGGCTTCAGACTCTGATACTTTTCTGTCAGTCTAATAATTTTATTTGTGTTTCTCAAACTTCTTTGTGTTGCTCTATAACTTTTAATCAAAATTAGTTTTATGTTTGCACTTCCCTGTTTTCTTTCTGCGTCATCTGGAATATCATCAGTAATATGCAAGCCATAAAAATTTAGCTGCTGTGAAATGAAGCCTTGCAAGTCTGCTTTGTACCTGCAAGTTCTGAATACCAATGAAAATGAAGTGCATGTGGTGTTTTTGACCACTGAAACCTGACTAAATTAAATGAATAGAGCCAACAGTTCCACATTTTCATACAGTAGTGCATTACTAGAGTAGATATAATGATGTGATAGGTGCTCATTAGGGCACTGAACTAGGCAATAACAAAAGGCAACATTTAAATACCCTAATATGTGGAATTGAGAGTGTTAAATAGCATATACAATATCAGGTGAACAAAAAAAAAGTACTAATGACGAATTTACACTACATACATGTAAAAACTTTTCAGTTGTAGAGCTTCTCACTTTAAAATAATCTTCATTTGTACTGTTATTTTTACATTAAAATGAACGAAACAAATCTTCCTTGTTCTCCATTCGCACAAGCATATTCACAACTCTGTCTCAATTACATCAGTTTCAAAAGAGCACAGCAAAAAAGTGATAAAGACAAATCTTGATACGTACATTTTGAGAAGTTGAAAAAGATGTAGAATAAATCTGCATTCCTAGTAATAGGTATAGTAGTGTTTAAAATTTCAGCCTTACTAGTGCAAGAACAAACATCTTCTTTGATGAACTTTCTGCAATCTGAATTTCTACTTCAACCTGTTTCTTCTGACTTGTATCCTGTTTCTCTTTTTGTATTTCTGTCAACAGAAAGCTGATCTTGCAGTTGCACCGTTGGCAATTACCTATGTTCGTGAGAAAGTCATCGACTTTTCCAAGCCGTTTATGACTCTTGGAATAAGTATTTTGTACCGCAAGCCCAATGGTACAAACCCGGGCGTCTTCTCCTTCCTGAATCCTCTCTCCCCTGATATCTGGATGTATATTCTGCTGGCTTACTTGGGTGTCAGTTGTGTGCTCTTTGTCATAGCCAGGTAACATGTCAACTTTTGTGATTTTTTTGGCAATTGTTATAATCTTTTTCTTACTAATAATTGTCAAAAGTCACAAAACTTTCTTACTTTCATACTCTTATATTTTAAGTTTGTGATGTACAGAAAAATAATTAATGATGAGGGTTCTCACTATTAATTTTTTGCACTGCCATTCTAAGTGTCCAGTTTGTTATGCCACCGAATCTTGAGGGTGCTAGTTAGGTTGTATCTTTTATTTACAAATTCAAAGACATTAGCAAGTTTATGTAATGTCTTTTCTCATTTGTGCTGTGTTTAGAAAGAAAGGGACCAACACATTTTATTTTGTTAGTATAATTTTGTTTGTTGCTGTCTTGTTTAATCTCAAATTCAGTACTTAGCTGCCCATGTCAATCCTTGATGTCCAAATTAGGCCACCACACGTTAAAAAACCAAATAAATTAATTGGTATAGATTAGTATCTTAGAAGTAGGGTAGCAGAATTAGTTTTTAACTGTAAGCTAGATAAACATTACATATGATTTAGAGTCCTAGATTGGAATATGTTAGGAAGCAAGTTTCCAGAGTTAAGGACCTCAATACAATTGCTAAATTATAAAGTTATTTTTAAAAAGCAATACTGGACTTTCTTGCCTTTTAACTACTTTTTATCTGTTTTCTTCAATATATATAAGCAGGAAGATATCTCTCATTGTCATAAATTCTCATTATATTTACATTTTCTTTGAAACTGACTTAAGATGCTCACAGAAATGTAAACTTGTACGTCATAACTTTGAGTCTTGCTGTGACAGAAAAAAAAACAATCAATCACCAGTTCCTAGGGGTGTGAAAGTAATATTTTTTTGCAGATTCCTCCCAGAAGTCACTTTTAAATATTTTTTTACTCACATAAATATAAACTATGCTGGCTTTTATCCCAAACTTACCTTTAATAAGATATTTCTTTTTTCTTCATTTTTTTTTTCTGCTTCTTTTTTTTTTTTTTTTTTTTTTTTCTGTTCCAATGATTTTTAGGAGCAAATGTTGCAAGTAGCGTAATTTTACTTCAACCTCAAGATTTCATTGTTTGATACACAATATTTCCCTTCATATTTTCCTCTCTCTGTTGTGGTTGATGTAATGGTTCTCCATCTTTCCTTGATGCTGTATGCTTCATTCCAGATAGGTTGTATTGTTTCTGTAGTAAAAGATGTAATATTTCTAGGAGTCATTTTATCAGTAATTTAGCAAGATCACTTGTATATGAAGTGCATGAGATATTGCAGCAACATAGATAACACTGAAACACATTCTGTAATGATTAGCTTTCTGTACTTTCCTTAGAAGTCTGCTTTGATGAGCCAGGTATACATTGAAAGTCCTTTGAAAGAACAATATATATTACTGGACTGTATAACCAAACTGTAAACTCATTTCTGAGGTGTTTCTGTAATACACATACATCTGAAAGCAGAGAATTTACTGTTGACCATAAATCACAAATATTGTGCCGGGAAACATCTCGTGCAAAATATTGATGAGTATGTCCAAAAGTTTTAACCCTACTGTTATCACTACAGAACATTTTCAGCATGATGCACAGTGTTTTTGTCATGCAGCTCTCAGTAAGTTTTATGGCTAAGTTCTTGCTCATGCTAAAAAAAAAATCTTGTTACATTCTGTAAGAAGGATGCACTTCTTTTAAACCTTTTTTAATTAAGGCATTCAGTCATATCTGTTTTTGTGACCAGCAATATAGAATCCTTGCATACTTGGAATCATTGTTTTTATTGTAAAGCCTTACCAAATAGATTTTATACTGAGCAGAGGAGTCTATTTTTGTATAAAATTGTATAAAAACCTTTTTTATATCAGCCCTCAGATTTTCAATACTTATGCTGCATGTTCAAATAGTCATAGCACATATTTAGAAATAAAAGATTTTGAATTTTGGATTTTGTAAGACCTCTTACAGGATTTTTTTTTATTTTATTTTTTTATTTTTTTTTTATTTTTTTTTTTTGTAGTGAAGAGCAACTTCTAAGATGGAATAGCATTTTCTAATACCATAGTTTACCATAGTTAAAATAGGGGGAAAAAAAAATGAGTTAAGAACTTAATCTCTTGTTGAATAATATTGAATAATAAAGACAGAAAAAGAAGAATTCAAAAGTTAAAGAACCTGTCGGTGATTCGATTTTCAAAATGTGTCTGTCATGTGAAGAGAGACAATGTTACCTGAAGTGTGATATTGAAGTGGATTTTGCAGCTTAGTTCTGTGTATGTATTTTCAGTATAGACTATAATTTTAGTGTTACACATTGATGTACTTTCAGTCCTGATTTTGTGGAACTGTTGGACTATATGCAACTAAATTAATAGATTTCATCTAGATGGTCTTATTAAGAACATTTTTACTTCATAACAATCCTGTCATAATGAGTGTTTAACTACCAGTGTTTCATAATAATTATTGTGTATTTCTTAATAAGTTTTATCTATGTTTGGACATTTAGTATGTCTTTTGTGGCATGATGTTCTGTAATTACATTTCATCAGAGTATTCAGTATAGAACACTTACTGTTAGACTTACATCCCTCTTTTTTATGTCAAATGTTTTGTGAGCACACCATGGTTTTATTATTTTATTATATCTTTCAAACAGTTCCAGAATGTAAGAGCTTGGTACATTGAAAGTAGAGAGCACAATTCTGTTTTGGTACTTGGAGATCATCTAATAGTTAGTGGTATGAGTCTATTTAGGGAAAGATGGAAATTATTAAGAGGTTCAAGAATATTTGAGAGAGAATTGCTGAAAGGCTTTCATCAAGTAAGTGTAGGTGTAAAAGAAAAAAAAAAAGTAATATACCTCTATATTAGTCTTTTCCTTTATCTGGAAGAGCATTGCTTTTTCCTTTCACTTTGAGAACTGAATGTAAAAAGCTGAAATTGTTACATATTCGTTGAGACAAAGAGCAAGGAGAGAGATATGTTTGTTAGCTAGGAGGCTTCTCTCAGTCATCTATGTGGAAATTATGGATCTTGCATTCTGAATGGGATTAACTATGTAGTATATGGTGTTTAATTGTCATTCCCAATTAGGCATTATGACTATGATTGCTCCACATATATGAAAACTTCATTTTGTGTTGTGATTACTGAGTGTAAGTAATTATGCTGGTTAGTCTCTAAAAGTTCTTCTGTTTGTGATACAGTCTGGTGACTGATAAACCTGGTCTCCCTGGCACTACGTTCATTACTTTTCTGGGAATTACAAAAGTCAAGTGGCATTATCCTTCTTGTGGCAACATTAACAGATCTGTTTCTGATGCTAGATAGCAATGTCTTTGTGTCACTTGTAGCAGTGCCTTGCATCATCTGACTTCTTGTTGAATTTCTATTCCAATATCTTTTTTTTTGCCTCTACATTTGCTTTTCATTTCTTTGATTCGAGATCCCAATTAAATTCACAGTTAGTGTATGATTAGAAGGAAAACTAGGGCTGGGGTGAAGCACACTAAGTCCTTTTTGGACATCTGTCAAGTGCACAACATCTTCTGCTCTGTATAATGAAAAATGTTGATTAGTATTTCCTATTCGTATTTGTCTGATGGTGCAATGAGTTGTTCCATTTCACAAGAAATGAGCTTATTTCATCAAAAGTAGATGACAGCTTCATAGACATATATATACTATATGCTTTTTTTTCTTTTTTCTTTTTCTTTTTCTTTTTTTTTTTTCTTTTTTTCTATTAGCCAGTATATACTACACAGTTGTTTCCTATTGCTGGCCTTCGCAAAGTCTGATGTATTGGTAACTGATGGTACTGCCCATTCTGCATAGATATGATGAAGAAAACAAGTTTCATATATTTTAAAAAAGCTATATATATTTGATTTAATTATTTGGTCTTCCAAACAATGACTTCTAAAGTCAAACAAATAATCTTCAGTTGGCATATGTTGTACCCTGATTTTTGGAGTCAATTATTTATGATTTTACACATCTATGTCTTTTGAATCTTTTCTGAAAACCCTGACTGAAGGACATTCTGGCTAAATATTTGTAGCCAATCATTTTCTACCTGATTTTCCAATTATTCCCTGAACATCTAAATATTCCTCTGTTTTGTCAGGTCTTTTTGCTGTGATCATGTCTGTGTGTCACAGTGAAGTTTACTCTTACGTGACCTGTCTTAATTCCTGGAAGAGAGACACATTATGTTTCACCTTTATGGATTAGCTATGAAACAAATAAACTACCCTGGATAAAATGCTCCACTAAATGAGATTTTATGTACCAAGCTCTCTGAAGTGAATCTATTGTGTAAATATTCTTACACTGTGTTCACAGCCTTAATTGCTAATATGGAATCATGAGTTATCATTTTAAAGGTCTTGATTCACTTATCAGTCTCACGTTCAGCCTGGTGGACTTCCTGCTTTTTCCTCCTTTCAGGATAATTATGCTATTCTACTTTCTGTTAGTTTCAGCTGTCAAAGCATTTATTATAAAATATTTTTTCATTTTCTTTTAAGCAGTGATAAAAGCACAGTGAACATTACTTCATCACCAAATTTTTCTCTTGTTTGTTGAAGTAAAACATAATAATAAATGACAAGAGCTTTAAAAATATCTCCACACATTTATCTTAATATTTTCTTTGTGCAGAAGCATAGGAATTCCATGCTTCTTCAGACTTGAGCAGATGCCTGAGCATTATGTCTCTCTAGAGTGCGTACATAACCTTTTACATCTCATCAGTCTTCATTTTTATTTCATATTTTTTGGCTAGCTGATTTCTGTCCTTGAGCTGGTCGGATTAATTTTCAAAGTATTCTTTTAAAACTATCTTGGTAGAAAGAAATTAATGGTAGAATGAGAGGGAACTCCTTTTTACTATGGAACTCTGGTTACTAGATTACTATGTCGATATTTATTCAAGGAGGAACTCAGCATATTTGCCCTTTATTCTTTACAACCATTATTCCTATGAGAATTTTATCTCCTGAGGCCT